TGTCGAGGTAATTTTGAGTTTTTTTTTAAAATTTTATTATTGTTGAATAGAACCAAATAGATCAATCGATAAATAATAAACATAAAAAACAAGTCCCCCTCAGGCCTATACTTTCGGTGATCAACTCGCCCCAACATAAGGTGGCACGTTGGCTTGCGGAGAAGTTGGAACCTATTCGTCAATGGTTAGGCGTGCACACAATGAAAGACTCATTTAATTTCTCTGAAAGTGTGAACCACATGAACGTTTAAAACAAGTTCATGGTGTCATTTGATGTAACCTCCTTGTTCACAGTGATTCCAATCAACGAAACTATTGAGATCATTTGTCAGCAGTCTGTTCTTCTCCCACTTCTTTCAGGATCGGAATTCAAACGCTTCTGCTATTGTGTACCATGCATGTGCGATTCCCATTTGACAACACTCTTTACCGCCAAATAGATGGTGTAGCTATGTGGAGTCCACTTATCCCTGTTTTAGCAGATATCTTCACGTCCAACCTTGAAAGAACAAAGTCGAAGCATGCAATCGACGAAACAAATTCCTACTGTCGATACGTTGATGATACATTTATAGTGTAAAAAAATGAAAGTCATGCTTCACACGTACTAAGATTATTCAATGATGCACACTCCAATATTGAGTTCACTATGGAACATGAAAGTGACGGAAAGTTTCACTTCCTCGACATCGCCATGGAACGCCTAGAAGACGGTAGTCTTCAAAAGTCAATTTATCGAAAGTCCACATGGGAAGGACAATACTTACATTTCAATAGCTTTTTTCCGAATAGCTTTAAACGTGGTCTGGTCAAGACTCTGTACTATAGAGCCAGAAGAATATGCTCTATAGAGAAATTAGAGGAAGAATTTGAGTTTCTTGAAAAGATATTGAAGAGCAATGGGTACCCCCAAACGTTCATCAACAAGTATGAAGTTCTGAAGTCATAAATGTAAAACAAATCACAGTAGGAAAAAAGCCAATCTACTTTGAGCTTGATTATAAAGGCGAAAACATTGCAGCGATGGTCAACAGAAGGCTGAGTACATTACTATCCATAGCCTATCCCGCAGCTAAGCTCGTTCCTCTTTGATGCAATCAAAATTTGATAAAAATTCTTCTCATGTTAATTCCAACTGTATATACAAATTTATATGTACCTGCGAGAGCAGTTACATTGGAAGAACAGAAAGAAGAAGGGCGTATCTACGATTTTCTAAACATTCACCAAAAAGCTTACATCTAAAGCGAATAAATGCTTTAAACAGTGCCATCGCCACGCATTTCATCGACACGGGTCATGAAGGTGGACGTCGAAAATTCGTTCAAAATTATTAATAGGCGATTGAGCTCAATTCTCCTCAAGTTCGCTGAAGCCATTTCCATCAAGCGCCTGAAACCTGACTTATCGGTCCAGAAAGAAGTGGTTATCAGTCTTTCTTTGCCCTGGTAACTGGATATTTTTCATCTCTTTCATCCGAATGCGAGATGCTGAAAAGTTTTCATTGTGTATGATTATTATTGTTCGGAATAGTGTTTAATATTGCATATATATATTATTACTGTATGCATATATTGATCGACTGATTTTTGTTTAAAATGAACTCTGTGCAAGTATGTTAAAATTGTTTTTGTAGATACATTTAATGATGTCTTTGCCTTGTAAGCAGCTGACGAGAAGGCAATGAAATAAAAGATGGTACCATTTTATTCCGCTTAAACTGTAGTTCTTGCTTTGTTCAAATTGAAATCGTCTTTTTGCTGTCTTTCAAGCGTTGAAGTGTAACTGTACTCGTCGTCTCGATGAAGTCTGGTCAGCTTTGCAGAAGGACACAAAGATCGCTTGCCTGAGTTCAGAATACAACAAACAAATGCCGGTTTTGGCCATTACAATAATAACAAACAAATTGAAAAATTTCCACAATTGAAAATATTTTCACAGTTGAACCATTTACCATGAAAAATTTGATTGAATTTACTCTCAGGATTAAATTTGTTAACCTATAAGTGTATCACACTGGTGAAATGTTTTGTCTGCAACACTTCACAAGGACAGGAATTCAAGACTCCATGAAAGTGTTTGAATTATTAGAAATGCAAAAGACTGAACACATTCTTACCAATGTTAATAATTTTGTTATCAACTTCGGTTCAGGGTTTTATTTGAGTACATTTGTAACTTATTTCCACCCTAATACAGCCTACTATAATTCTCATTATTCAGTAAGTAAGGTACTACCACGGCACGCATACTATATTATTGTTATTATTATTCCTATAATCTTTGATTTCCTCCTCACCACAAGATCTCTTCCATGTCACCCTCACAACAACGACCCATTCTTCACTCCTTATCAGGAATCCACTCGAAAGGGCGTAATACCATGTGAATGCCGCCTCAGTGGTGTATGCCCGATCCAACTCCAATTTCCCATGCATATTTGTTGAGCAGTCGCCTCTTTTAGTTGGTTTGTTCCACTGCAGAGTTTATTGTTGATAATTCTTTCTGGTGGGCTGGCTGACCATCTGATCTTTAGTATGGAGCCTGTGAAGACAGCTGTTGATAAAAGTCTGCAGAATACTGATGTAAATGCCTTATGTGAGGCCTTAAACAAGTTTCTGACCCATTTAGAAGAACTGACTAACTGACTGACTTTACATTTGTGCTGAAAAGCCGAATCACGTTCCTCATGCTAACTGAGTGCAGTGCACAAGATTTCCAAACTGCTTTCAGGTTGTTGTTGAAGGTGTATCTTGCCTTTCCGATTCTGGTCACCTTTGACATCTTTATCCGTTCTAACTGCCTGTGGTTGAAACCGTGCTTCCCAGCCAAATAGCTGAAGGCGGTAAACTCTGTCAAAAGTCTCCCCGTTGATGGTGACTTTCGCTGTTTGCTGTTGGTTGGTTGGTTATCTTCATTACTTTTGTCTGCATCTTCTCTATTTTCACCTGGATTCCTGTCTTCACTACCTACCTCTTGTGCCAATTTTTTTGTAGGCATAGTGTTTATATTGAATTCACATAAGTTGGTAGAGATCTGCAGTCATTCTAAGTAACTTCTATTTCTTGACTATTTACTTACATCTCCCCTTCATCTTCCTTTACGTTCCTAGTGGAAAATACCGCTTCAAACTTTCTTGCAGTTTCAGTAGAGATGATGTCGTTGATTTGCCAAGGGATAGTACTCCTAACTTCACATATAATCCTACCTATTTTCTGGGTTTGTTATCGACTAGTGAGCTGATTGAGGTCTGCAAGTGCATCGGCCAGGAATAAAACCCAAAATTCTTGCGTGTCTGATTAGCCTTCTGTTATTGGCCGCAAATAAAATCCTTATATAATTCGTCGTTTCATCTTTTATGAGCGATAGGAAGAATACTTTAGAAACCCGAAGATGTAAACTATGACAGGAATAATTGCTGAGCATTACACCCACTGAAGCTCCCTCCACTTTAGTTGAAGCTGATGTATTATCATATTATTATTATTGTTTCTTTTAATTCCTAGAGGAACATACGGCTTCAGCCGTGCATCTCCATTGCGTTCGGTTCTTTGCTAGAATCTTCACCTGGCCCCAAGTCTGCCCACACGTTTTCATCTCCTCTTCACATCACCTCCTCCAAGTCACTCTTGGACTGACGACCAACTCGCCGCTTCCCTTTCGAGTTCCACTCGAGTGATGGCTTGTCTAGTGATGTCACTCACTTGATGGTTTCCTCAGAGTATGGCCAGCCAATCCATCTCCATTTCTTCCTGCCTATTTGTTTCACAATCAGTTCCTGCTGAGTTGGTTTGCTCCCACAGATCTCATAGAATTGCTGATCTTTTCTGGCCGGCTGTCTGATCTCGACTATTGAGCGAAGACAACTGTTGATGAAGGTCTGTAGTTTGTTCGAAGTGATCTTTATGACGCGCTGGCCAAGTCTCTGATGCGTACAGTGGGTAGCACTGACTTCACATTGGAGTTGAAAATCCGGATGTTATTTTTGATGCTGAGTGCTGCTGACCTCCACAGAGACTTGAATGTAGTGAAAGCTTGTCTTGCTTTTCCGATTCTTGCTTTGATATCCTCGTCAGTTCCGCTTGTAGTTGAAACGATGCTTCCCAGGTGGATAACAGAGATGAATTATTCATCTGTTAAACAAAAACATTTATACTAAATAATTTGAATATGACTACACCAACCGCGGAAAGTATAAACAGACAGCATGTCTCTATAAACTGTCTAATAAATAATAAAGCACTACGAGCAGGAACAAGGAACACTGTCAATGAACCAACCAAAAGCCTACTTACTGACCAATAATTGTGTGAAAGCAAATCAACTGGAACTAGTCACATTATCACTTTACACATCAGTGTAAAATTCATTACATAACTACCGTATTTTTTTCATATCATGTCTTACAATGAATAGGTACACAAAATTTCTACAAAATTCACAACCGAAATGCTTTTTAAAAACAAAAACAACACCAGCGCACAATTCACCTCATTTGTGTTTCAAAACCTAACATTTATTGGAAAAATGGATAGAAGTTGTAATCTCTGAAATTTTCTTCCCCTTATCAACCAATTAATGTACACAATGTGTTTAGTATTATTACACATATTTCGTCTACTTCTTTATTTCTTTTCTTGCTGCTTTTTCCTTCACCTCTCTCTCTTCTACATACTGACTTTTTATTTATTTAAAACATACGCATAGCCTACAGTTGACGTGTTCAATATGCCATTGGAATGAAATGACCTTGACTAATCGATCGCTACACAGTTTGTTTTAACTGACTAACTAAAGCATTGAAGTTGAAGATTATTTTGTAATGCATTAAAACATATGACAAAATAAAATGAAAGTAATGGGAGAAGAAACTATACTTATTTCAAGGTTGTATCTCTTGTAATCGAAAGTTGTTTTTTTTATTTTATTATCAGTAAAATTTGAAAGTGAAACATTACAGAAAAGAAAGTTTTCAGTCTAGTCTAGATCTATTGATAAAGATGAATTTTTCGATAGAATTAATTACTTTAATTCTGCTAAAATTATTGACAATTTATGGATTAAGTATACTTCAAGAAATGAATAAAGTTTATGCACCATTTAGTGAAAATATCACATCAACAGCTACTATCAATCAAATTGGTCATGGCCTCCCAACTGCGGATAAAACAAATTTATGCTCACCAGATAGCCCAATCACGTATACATCTGTTGGAATCTACTGTGGTATACGTGAAATTGTTCATTGGCCAAATGGACCAGCATCAATGGTTGATATTTATCATGGTAATTGTTTTTGTTTTTCATTTGTTTTGAAAATATTTTTTTGATTTTATTTTGAATTAAAATATTGTTTTGGTTGCGCATTAACTATTTCACAGTGGGTAACATTATTGTTATTGTTATTATTGTTCCCTTGGGTTCCCATTTGGGTTCCACTCGAATGATGGCCTGACGTGAGATGTCAGCCGACGGCCTTCACTGTGAAGTGAATGCCCAATCCATCTTCATTTTCTCTCCTACATATTTGTTGAACGGTAAGTTCTTGGTTAGTCTGTTTTTACCAATTCTTTCTGGCTGGCCATTTGATCTTCAGTATAGAGCGAAGACAGCCGTTGATAAAAGTCTACAACAGGCTGTTGCAAATATTGATGAAGGTGTATCTTACCTTTCCGAGTGAAGCAGTTTGAAGGTGAGGCAGTGACTCATCGAAGAAGACATTGTGAAATGGTCAAGCTATTTCATGAATTGGCAAAGTTAGTAAAACAACATAATGAATTGTGTGTAAGGAAGGAAAGTGGTGAATTGTGAAACTCAGCTGGATAACGTCTGCGAATGTCCCTTGAAATATAATTGCTTGCGGTAATAAACATGAAAGAGGTTACTTCATTCACTTATCTAGGGAGCATTGTCTCAACTACAGAAGGAACAGACGAGGATGTCAAATCGAGAATCGGAAAGGCGAGAAACACATTAATCAACCTGAAACCAATCTGGAAATCTTCCGCTGTCACTCAGCCTGCATCAACAACAAAGTGATTCGGATTTTCAATGCAAACGTCAAGTCAGTCAGTTCTTCTATACGGATGGATCAGAAACGTGACCTGTGTGTCACAAAGAATATTTCCAACAGCCGGTTGCAAACCTTTATCAACAGCTGTCTTCCCTCTATACTGAAGATCAGATGGCCGGAAAGAACAAGAACCAACAAGAAACTATGGGAACAAACAAAACAAGAACCAATCGCTCATCAAATATGCAGGAGAAAGTGGAGATGGATCGGACAGCCGCTGAGGAGGCCGTTGGGTGACATTGCGCGTCACGCCAGTGCTCGAGTGGAACCCGAAAAAAAAGCGGCGAGTGGGACGTCTCAGGTTGACATGGAGGAGATCATGTGAAGAGAAGTTGAAACAGTGTGGACTAACATGGATGCAGGTGAAAAGTACAGCAGAAGACAGAAGCAATTGGAGGTGTACAGTTAAAGCCCTATGTTTCACTAGGAACCCAAGGGAACAATAATAATAATAAAGTAATGAACATTATTCACATAAGAAAGGAAATTCAGGAGATGCATAAGTTGCATTTTGAAAATTTAACGTAAGAAACGAAGGTAACATACAGATAGAATAGGTCAACAATAAAGCTAAAAGTCACGATAATAAAGGAAGAATTGAATAAATAACTTCTGTATACAGAGTTCAGGGTTTTCATTAAGTAATGGAACGGTTTCGGCTGTGCATAGAAAATAAAGCTAGGAATACTTGGAATCGTTTGAATTTACTTTATGTGTATCACGCCGAGAGAAATCTAAACTGATGCGCAATAATGGGAGAAACCGAAGTATCCAAGAATTTATTTATTCGTATTCTGTTTTGTTCCTGTACGTTCCCAGTGGAACATAGGGCACCTTCAAGATAGAGGCTTGAAGTTTCAGTAGCAGTGGTGTTTATTTTTACTGGATGGAGTTGCTAGCCAGCCTTATTCTCAACGTTCCCTCTTTACCAGTCTAAGTACTGGCTTAGCGAGGTAAAGGAATGCGTTGGTGACCGGGAATCGAACCTCGGACCATAATGAGGCGTGGTTGGTGAGCATTCTACCGTTGTGCCACCGGCGCTACTGTTTCATTTCCTTGCATAACTTATGGTCTGTACTACTTATGAGTATTTATAAGTAGATATTGTGTATTTGACGTCTTCTGCAAGAATCTTGAATAATAGAAGGACGCATCACGTAGCGATGAGGAGAAATGAAAAATCTTTGTGAAACAACATCGTAAGCACGAAAGGCGATCAAATGAAACAGAATAGTAAAAATATTTTTGTAAGTGGAAACTTCACTCTAACCCATCTGTATTCTGCGATCACTATATACATCACTTTCTACATGGAATAATACAAATGAAGATAGGAAATAATAAAATGCAAAAGACAAAATAATACAATTAGTAAGGCTGAAATTAAGAAAGATTACGTCCATTGTAGATTTAATGAATGAACGAATTTCTTTTGTATGCAGAGTTCAGGATTTAGCAGATGAATTACCATTGCTTCTGCGGTGTGAAGAAGTTTGATCCGTACCCTTTTAGCAAGATTGCCTTGTATTCTGTAGATAAATTTGAAGTTTACTTGTGGTTTGACTTGGTGTCCAGATTCGTTCAAATGTTCAAGGATCGAGCTGCGGGGACATCGGTTTTCTCCTTTATAAAACCATGAAGGTAAATGTTCGTTGACGCGTTTGGATAGCGAACGCTGAGTACGGCCGATATACCTGGCTCCACACGAGCAGGTGAATTGGTAGATGCGCATGTGCTGCTAACTCGGGCCACATCTAATTTCTAGTCAACTATTATGTCATCCGATTAACTTACTTAATTTTCAACTGTATTATTCTCTACCCCCACCCTTATTTAATTTTAACCACCACTCATTAACACTGTTGCCAACTTGACCTACTCTGAATTCTACTCAATTATACTACGTCATCCAATTCACTTAATCAATTTTATTTTATCTTCTATCTAATTAACGTTTGTTTCCAGGCCAAATAATACTTATATTACGTAATTATCTAAAATTCATAAATCTAATGTACACATACACAAACAAAATTGTATATAAATGCGATTGTACAGCTCAGTGAATGAATTCTCCGAAAAGAGTCTCTTCGCTGAACGCCTTCTTTTCTTTTATATGACTGATTGGGGATTTTCAAGTTACTTCAACGTTGCAAGTCTACTAAGTTGGGGTGGTGGGGGGAAACGTGGCAGGCAAATGTAACAGCAAAACACAAAAGTAACTGGTGGTAGATTGTCTATTTAGCGTAAGATATGCAGTGATGGTGAAATGTCGAAATCTTTCTCTCTCTGAAGTTCTGGTTTACAAAAGTTCTTAGCTTTCTGATACTTTTGTCTTTGTTTTATTTCTCCTCACTGCAACTTAATACACTTCTCCACCGTACTAGATTCTTGCAGACGATATCTCACAGAAGATACTACTTATTTCACATTTTGCAAACGTTTTGTTGAATTGATAGGGACAGCGGAGCTATTAAACAAATGCAGTAATCCCGTGTACCACTTATCAGGCACCTAAGTTATGCAATGGCAACTTGATTTCCGGCCTATCACTTGATTAGGCACATAGAACAACGTGAGTTGTAAAAGAGTATATTTACGAGAGAAAACAACACTACTACATGGGCCATTGTCTATATATGTATGAGAAAACTATGACTGGCCCACCTTTTCAGACAAGATACAGACCCAAATATTACCTCTGTCCTTTGGAAGAGAAGTGTGTGCTGTCTGTTTTCTGAGCCTTTCTGACCTACATCTATGGAGTGGTCGTTTGCTAACTGGAAGGTCTGGAGCTTTCGTGGCATCCTTCCTATTTCGCAGTATGAAGGTGTCCAGTAGTATATATCCACTGCGAAGTTGTTAGTGACTGTTTTACCCTCGGAGGATACGCACCGTCATAGTTGGTTCTTATGCTACGTATGCGTCTCTCATCCTGCTTGGACCTTATTCATCACGTTGTACACGCCTACCTTTAATATAATCTCCAATTATTTCCCTCTAGAGCCTCAGATTGCATTCTAGTTAGATCACAAACTGACTCCACTCGAGGAACCATTGATACCATGGACTGTTAGACTATTGTTGCGTCCTAGTTTGGCACCCCTTATCCTTACACATCTATAACTCTACCAGGAGTAAGTCCATTAAACATTCAGCCGCTGGATTGAAGTCGAATGGCTCATGAGTTCTAATTTCTGCTATTTTGCTCTTTTTTAACAATCATCTAACGGAACTCACCTTCCAGCCAAGTCGGGAAGTCTATGTTCAGACATATTTATTAAGCTTTTTTACTGATGGTCAGAGAGCTTTGCTTGAAATTTAAAGTGGACTATTTTGTCAGATACACGAGTTTCCCTCAGTGTGTGTGTTATAAAGAAAGCACTAGGCGTGACACCTATAATTCATTAAATAGTCAGTAGAACAACTGGATCTCGTCTTTCCAACCCACATCATCAACAGGTACAACATTTTCCTTCTTTCTTTTCCTTTTCTCTCTCTTCTTTTTCCGTTATGTGCTGCTTTGTCTCTTTCTCTTGCTTACGCCAGTTAATAAGACAGCTCCCACTTTTCTAACACCTTCAAACACTGTTTCAGCTTTACCTTTGCTACTGACATGTCAATGTAATGTTGTAATAATGAACTGTGGTTTCCTCAATCTTTGTAGAATTCTATTTATTGATAATGTACCAACTGGATGCAATACTGTAGTAAAAATGCTGAGAATTCCATTCTGTATCACAGGTACTGTTTTGGAATAAAGCAAATTATTATTATTATTGTCATTATAATTTATACTATAAGCTGGCTTTACGTCGCATCCATGATTCACTTTCAAACAACTATATAAAGTTGTACTGATTAAATCTCTGTGAATATCTCCAAGTAAATTAAGGTCGTTGGCCACTTATCTTGTTGTTGTTCAACCACATTCCACACTCAAATTACTATTTATAATTATCTTCTTTAATTAATATAGGAATACGTTATGCTCAATCGCCTACTGGACCATTACGTTTCAAAAAGCCTGTTGAACCGACTCCGCAGCCGAAAAAAGTTTTTATGGCTGACAAATTACCACCTTCATGTCCACAACCAGTGGATACAATGTTTCAGGTAAGTATTAGGCGATAATTATTGTGGGAAAAATGAAAAAATGTAAGTTAATTCCATTATTAAAGTCATGGGAAGCAAATAAGAAAGAGAGATATCCTTTCAGTGGTTTCGTTTTCAAAAGCTGTGCGACCACATTACTAAACATAAGTTCACATATTACCTTTTCAATTCAATTTTGATTTTCCCGTGGATTATTGTTATTATTATTTTTTCCTTCAATTCCTAGAGGAATATAGGGCTTCAGCCATTCGTCTCCATTGCGTTCGGTTCTCTGATAGAGTTTTCACCTGGCTCCAAGTCTGCCCACACGCTTACATCTCCTCTTCTCATGACCTCCTCCCAGTCACCCCACCTTCTCACTGACGACCAACTCGCCGCTTCCCTTTCGGGTTCCACTCGAGTGATGGCTTGTCTAGTGATGTCACTTGATGGTTTCCTCAGAGTATGGCCAGCCAATCCATCTCCATTTCTTCCTGCCTATTTGTTTCACAACCGGTTCCTGCTGAGTTGGTTCGCTCATTGCCAGAGATCTCCGTTGCTGATCTTTTCTGGCCGGCCATCTGATTTTGAGCGAAGTATTGAGTGAAGACAACTGTTAATGAAGGTCTGTAGTTTGTTTGAGATGCTCTTTATGACGCGCTGGCGAAGTTACTGATCCGTATAGTGAGTATCACTAACTTCACATTGGAGTTGAAAATCCGGATCTTATTTTTGATGCTGAGGAGTGCTGTTGACCTTCACACAGACTTGAGAGTAGTGAAAGCTTGTCTTGCTTTTCCGATTCTTGCTTTGATATACTCGTCAGTTCCATTCTGCTGTAGTTGAAACGATGCTTCTCAGGTTGGTGGGTAGATAAAATAGGTTGTTTCTTTCAGGTTCCTCCCATTTATGCTGATCGTTATCTGTTGTCTGTTGTTGTTGCTGTTGGTTGTGTTAACCAGGAATCTTCATCACCTCTGTTTTCTCGATGTTCACCTTATTCCTGTGGATTGACTGGACCTAAATATTCGGCTTCTGTTGACATGTCGGCTTCGAGTGCAAATGCTTCAACGAGATGTCTGAGAACTAACTTGAAGAAATTAAGTTGATGGTAATCAACAGTGGAATCCAGGATGCGCATTTGGGGAATAGAGGCAAATCCAGCTGATGACTCCCAAATAGGATGAAAATGCGCATCCTGGATTCCACTGCTGGTCACCATCCAACAAAAATAATATAAATTCACGGAGTTATAATTATTAGTATTTGAAACAATATAGTAATGAAGGGGAATTAACTGAGATATTAATTTTCAACTTGCTATGAATGTTCGATGGTGTGATGAAAGGTGAATATATTGAACACAGAGGCATAGTAGCGAATAGTAACGAATGACTGTAGAAATGGTTGCTTAGTTTGCAAAATAGATCTTAAAGAAGACAGATGTGAATGTACGGAATGTACGTAGGAGACAAACTGGAACAGCGGTTTACATAACTGATGATGGTAAAATTGAAGGGAATGAAGAAATACGACAAATAACGAACCAACACAGAACTATCTCTCTGGTAAATGTAATAATGGTTGGACAAGTTTCGCTTGCACATACAGCTTTGGCCTCGCGATGTACATGCTGACGGCTTTGCACTACAAAGAAGTCGAAAACAACCGCCTTTGGTAGACTTCTTTTTAACGTGTAAATGTTTCTTAATGATGAGTCTGTTCGAATGTGAAGGATGGTTAATCAGTTGGTCGGTTACATTGCTTTTGACTGAAAAAATACCGCCTTGCTGTAACCATGCTAGGTAGTGTTCTCCAACGCTTTTTTTGAAAGGCCAGGCATAAAAGCCCAGGCTTATGTGCCATATTTTCTTTGCCACAAAATTACAATCTTCTCTTCTCACCTTTGGTTTCATGTGTTTTTCTCCTGCAAATCGTTCTGGATATCCATTTTCCACCAGGATTCTTTCAAGAAGTAAGGGCCATTTTTTCTCTAAGTAGTCAATGTAGCAGATACTTTTAGTACGATAGGCAAGTGAAATGATGACAGTTCTCTTATGACTCAAAGATATCTAAATTTAAACATTTGTTAAGTGATCATTAAATATTGGTAGTAGATGGTTTTCAAAATATGTGCTCTTATTGATCTATATTCATTTTTAATCAAAATGTATATTTTGAGTATGAAATCGCCGGAGAAGAATAGTTAGTTAGTTAGTTAGTAAGTTAGTTAGTTAGTTAGTTAGTTAGTTAGTTAGTTAGTTAGTTAGTTAGTTAGTTAGTTAGTTAGTTAGTTAGTTAGTTAGTTAGTTAGTTAGTTAGTTAGTTAGTTAGTTAGTTAGTTAGTGAGTTAGTTAGTTAGTTAGTTAGTTAGTTAGTTAGTTAGTTAGTTAGTTAGTTAGTTAGTTAGTTAGTTAGTTAGTTAGTTAGTTAGTTAGTTAGTTAGTTAGTTAGTTAGTTAGTTAGTTAGTTAGTTAGTTAGTTAGTTAGTTAGTTAGTTAGTTAGTTAGTTAGTTAGTTAGTTAGTTAGTTAGTTAGTTAGTTAGTTAGTTAGTTAGTTAGTTAGTTAGTTAGTTAGTTAGTTAGTTAGTTAGTTAGTTAGTTAGTTAGTTAGTTAGTTAGTTAGTTAGTTAGTTAGTTAGTTAGTTAGTTAGTTAGTTAGTTAGTTAGTTAGTTAGTTAGTTAGTTAGTTAGTTAGTTAGTTAGTTAGTTAGTTAGTTAGTTAGTTAGTTAGTTGGTTAGTTAGTTAGTTAGTTAGATAGATAGATAGATAGATAGATAGATAGATAGATAGATAGATAGATAGATAGATGGATAGATAGATCTGAAGTAGGATTAGAAACCAGTTACTTTTTCACTCATTTTCCATGATCTCATGTTCAACACTAGTAAACTTTGTTCACAGATTTATCTACTTATCTACTTTCAATCAAATTTTTAATTCACCTGTCTCCTGATGACTTAATACTTTATTATTGTTTACTGAATATGACGTTTTCTGTTTCAATTCATATGACACGCACAATAAACAAAAATAATATCACTAACATTAACAGTAATAAATAATAATAATAGTAATAATGACGATAAATATCAGCATTACAGATAGATAGTCAAGACAAAATAACAATGCTGATAAATAAGGAATGATTGTTTTGTGCAGGGAGTATATATCTCCATGTATTTGTGTAAATGGATGCCTGTGACTAACTGTGTTAAAGTAGTTAGACAAAGTTTACAAGATATCATGTGTTCTGCCTATAATGATCTCAATGATTGTCATGTAATTTGACTGAAGTTGTCTACAAGTAGCACACCATTATTATCATTATTATTATTATTGGCAATAATACTATGAATAGTAACTTTTATTGAAATAATATACTTATCTGAAACAAATTGTCAACGATAAATATTTATGCTTAACGATATAAACTTAGAATAAACCATTTGAAACCTAGTGAACTCTACAATAGGATGATTATGGTACATTATAAAACTGGTATTATTGTCGAACGAAAATGGAATATTCAAGTATTGGTTTGTAGGGATTTGATTGATTGGTCACAGGATTTCATCATGAGCTGAAATTGATTCGAGAACCATTGGAAAACCTGCAGGGAGTACTAGAGAGCTGTTCCGTTAGACTAGTTTAGGACTCTTCAACAGCAGTACGCACCCACCAAAACAAGTTCGAAACCAAGACCTTTTGGTTATAAGGAGAGCTCGTAGACCATTCAGCAGCCACTGGGACCCGCTCCAATGACCAGGCCGTGAATTCTAACTTCTGCCAATTCTGTCCTGCGTACTGTGAAGAGTCCCAAACTAGGATGAAACAGCTGTCCAGTACTCCCAGTGTCAGCTCATGATAGAAATGGGATAAATCATTAATGTAGGTTTGAAGATTAAGTGTTTTTGATGAACAGCAAAGTCGATTGTCTGTTGTCATAATACATTTGAGTGTAGCAATAAGTCTTCGTCCATAGATGTCGTCATACCTGTACATTATCTAAAGAAGCTGTTGCCACGTTGTACCTTCGACGTCTACTTCAGATTCAACGATGAAATCTTCAGGCAAACAGATGGCGTAGCAATGAGCTCTCCACTGGGACCCCTCTTGGCCGACTGTTTTATGGTCAGCCTCGAAAACAACTTCTTATCTGCAATTAAAAGTGTTCTCTGAGCTGGTTGGTTTAGTCGCGAAGCCAGAGAATTCCTAGAAGCCTGGTACTCAAGCGAAAATGCGATTAACAAACACGTTAATATAGATGAAATATACCACTTAATAAAAAGTAAATCAGGTGACCAAAAAGTTTAAAATCCTAGTCAATAGAAAGTGGTCAATACATATGTGAAGATAGTAACCAGGAGACGCAATTATATCACGCATGAAGAAATTTAAATCATTTCACTCTGTGCTAAATATGGCGCTGAAGATGTTGTCCGGAAGGACGACGAAAGCTTCGCGACTAAACCAACCAGCTCAGAGAACACTTTTAATTGCAAATCATCCACCTGAGCTACAAATCTTCTCTATTATTTCAACAACTTCTTATCATCGACCATTACTGATCTCAATCTTCACAAGAGATACATTGATGATACTTTCATCATTTGTGATGAGAACCTGGACCTTGAAAACTTACTTCAAACCTTCAACAATGCCCTCCAAAACATTGACTTTACTCCTGAAGCTGAATCCCACGGGATGTTCCACTTCCTCGATGTCCATCTGACAAGAAACCTCGAAAACTCTCTGAAAAGGTCCAGGTACAAAAAGCCTATATGGAATGGACAATTCATCAACTTTCAAAACTTCGTGCCCCTAAGCAGAAAGAGGAACCTGATATATGCTATTTCCTTGCGGATTCGGAAGATACGCAGCGAGGAAGTGATTGAAGAAGAACTGCGTAATCTCTGAAAAACCCTGACGGAAAACGGCTTTCCACCTAGGTTCATAGACGAGAATCTCAAGTCGAAGAAGACTTCCGAACAAGTCCAATCCTTCCCAAAGAAGATACTTCTGCTTAATCTGGAATTCAAAGGTGACATTGAAGCAGAAATCATTCATAAAAGCCCCTGAAAATCTCTGAGGAAAACCCACTTCGCCTCGAAACTACAACTGAAGTTTTCCCGCAAGAAACTGTTCAGCCAGAACGCGAAAGACAACTTGTCGCATTGGGTCACCTCAACGTGCATATACCAGTTTACTTGCTCTTGCGCAGCTGAGTACATCGATAGTACCATGCGCCAACTTGAAAAAATGCTCTCGTGAACACTACCCAGCCTGACTGGTAAAAGGAGACCAAAAACGTGTATATAGTTCAGTTACAGAACATCTAGTCAATTCAGCACATTCAGCGCCATTCGAAAAATCCTTCAAAATAATATACAAGATTAGAACAAACCTATCAAAGGGAGTAAAATTAAGACATCTGGGCATAGCCGAGGCACTAGCTATCCAAAAGCTCAAACCCACGCTATGTATACCAAAGAAATGAGTCCAACCCATGTCCTGCCATGGCCAACATAAACAGGTAATTCTTTTAGTGATGACCATCCCACTGCCTTTCTTATCTAAACTTCCTGTTTTTTCATGATATTTTTAAGTTTTCCCTAATCTCTATTTACACTACCATATTTTCATATCCGAACTTCCTGTCTATTTTGTCACTTTACTATTTCTACATAGTTAATCCCTAATTGTATAAACAATTATTCGTCACATTAGTTATGATCCCACAAGATATTTTTTATACAAACATCCTGTCTGTTTTGTTATTTCTACATTTCTAACCCCCAATTACACAATATGTCAATCTTCTCAGTAATTATGATGCTACTTTGTTTGAGTTTTATCCGTCCCCCTGTTTATTATGGCATTTTAATTCCTAATTGTAATTTTATTAATTTGACCCTTGACCGGAAATTATTCTGGAACTTTCACACCCATTTATTGTAAATACACAAATGTGCAGCTATCATCTAGTTGACGGTGACTTCGCCGAAATGGAAATTTTCTTTGCTACAACTGTCTTTTTGTTATTCTCTATGATCAAATGTGTATATCCACAATTTTTTCCTTAGTAGTTCATTGGAATTTTCATCTTCACCTTCGTGTGCTCTATGGAATATGATAACCTGAACTGCTGCACTTCTCTGCGAAGTCCTACTCTGAAAACTCAGTCCATCAGGTGATGTCAGTCTTACACCTAAAATTCCTGCTTTGCAATTCAGATAGAAAAGATTTACATTTCTAAGGAGAAGTGAAAAATATATAATTGCGAACGCCCGACGCTATAAAATATTGTATTGTAACAAAGATTAGGATAGCATATTAATAAATCTATGTTACTATTGTCAACTTTCTCTAGATACTAATTTCAATCACCTCACAGAAATAAATCAGGAAGTCGATTTACTCCAAAGCAAATCAAATTAAAGCAATTTGGAAACTACTTCAACACTATGGAGTGCAATGCCCAAACTCTTTGTCAACCTCATTCAACAGCTGTGTGAGTGATGACAATGGCACGTATCAAGTGATCCCCAGTGTAAGACTCAGTGTGAAGCATCTGAAATGAGGACAGGAGTGAGACAAGACTTCCTACTATCACCGATGATATTCCTAATTATGGTGGACACTAGATTATGCGTCAGACAGTGAGTGGCTGACAGGAAGACAGGAATACCATGTTGGACCGATAACATGACTCTAGAAGGTCTAGATTTCTCAGATCACTTTTGTCTAATGTCACGCAAAATTAAAGACATGCAGGCCAACAAGCCAACAAAATGGTTGAAAATGCCAGCCGCGAAGGCAGGACTCCAGGTTAACATAGAAGAAGGAGAGATGAATATAGTTAACCAATAGTGACAACAACCAGGTTATTTATTCACCTGTTTAGGAAGCATGGTTTCAACCGCAGGCAGTCGAAAAGGATGAAGACGTCAGAATTGGCAAAGACCGAAAAGTTAAGACAAACGTTCATCACTTTGAAATTACTTTGGAAATCATCTGCACTCTCCATAAACAACAAAATTCGGATTTTCAGCACCAATATCAGGCCAGTCTCTTCTTGTTTATATGGGCAAGAAACTTGACAGGTGTTTCACGAAAAGCATTTCGAATAGGCTTCAGACTTTCATAAAAAGCTGCCTTCATCGGTTCCATTCTGAAGATTAAATAGCCTGCCAGAAAAAGCTGGTAACTAGGAACTCTGGGAACGAACCAAACTACGAACCTATTGCTCAACCAAACTGCCGGAGAAAGTGGCCATAGTTCGGACAAAAGCTGAGAAAACCATCGAATGTCGTCGTGGGCCAGTCCATCACTTGATTGTAAAATGGCGAAACGGGCGTCCAAAGGTGACATGAAGGTGATTGTGTGAGGAAGAGGTGCAAGCTTATAGTCAGTCATAGAGTTCAAGAGGACTGCAGAGGACGTAGATGTGCCGCATGTTCCTCTCGAAACCCAAGGGAATAATAATAATAAATTAAATCGATACCAGATATATCGATGAAATAGCTCCACATCCTGATTTGTTGAACTTCGGTTTTCTTCCAGCCTAATATTTTCTAGGACAAAATAGCTGGTCACATACTGGATGAAAATGACAATACTTATTCATGTAAATTCAAACGGGGGATGAATTTCTAAGCCATTTATTCACATAACTAACTTGTTAGCTCTTAAGGATGATGATAATTGAGAAGATGAAAGAGGTTAAATATCGAAAGCCCATTCTAATTCCTGACTTTCAATCGAAATGTATCAGAGTTATTGAGCAGGACCGAGCACTTCGGTCCAATCAATCGAGGGAAAATCTAAAATTCAATTAAAATTAATATGACTCGTTGCACAAGAAGTGGCTCTTGTGGATAACGCGCTTTGGCGTTTGAAACTATGGGCACTGGGTTCGAGCCTCGATGCAGGGAAAATCATCACTCACTTGGAAATGCAGGTACATCCAGTTGACGACTAGTTCCAAGTAGGACGAAACGCGCATTATCCTGGATTCCACACTGCTAGTCACCATCCACCAGTTAAATTCTAAGGATAAATAAAGACTTTAGTTAAAATGAGGATAACAATTTTAGCCGGAAAATTTGCTCTTGGAGACGTTTTGACATGCTATGTTGATGTACTGCTTCAAAAAGTAGCAACATTAGAAGTACAAAAGCGTTTTTCATGGAATAACAACACTATGTTCAATTCTGTAATCTCAGTTTGTTTATATCTACTAGGTAACTTCTTCATTATAAATTGCATCTAATTGCCATAGCACTCAACTACTGTTTGCCGAAAAGATATATGTAACATGATCAGTAGCTCTTAAAGTCCCATGTCTTAGCGATTTCTAAGAGAATATTTCGTCTGACTTTTTACATTAAGAAGTTAAGGCACTCAGGCATAACTCAACCACCCTCCTCTTACAGTTTATCAACTCGTGTATCTTACCTATTCTTCTTTACTGTTCACCCTTATTCTTTCCTGGATTGCTTAAAAAAGACTATGTCATGCTTCGTAGAACTCTGAAATGACTGTCAGTAGGGCGAGTGGTATCCCATTGGGCCATATCGTTGACATTGTCACTGATAGGCACTTGATGTCATGCAACAAAATTGCTAAAGGAATTTTGTCAGACTCTGAGCACCCACTCTACCCGCAGCTCCAACCTTGTGTCTCCTCAGGTAAAACAAGAAGTCTTTTCAGAAGACTTTATGCACGTACGTCTAAGTATAAAAATTCCACTATACCATATTTAGAACGTACTTTATGTGATGAAAATAGTGTCAGACATGAACTAACTAACCTTCTTAGCACCACTAAATAAACCATTTCCTTCACCCTTAAAACATCAAACTTTATTGTTATTGTATTTCTTATATTTATAGTCCTCTCAATTTTTTTGTTTTGTTTATTTTTTTTTCATAAGTGTGGACATAATTTAAGCTGTATTATAACTGTTAATTTTGCATTTTCCCCTCACTATACTATATCAACAGAACATTAGATCCAATACTCTATAACATGCTAAAGTTTCCAAACTGAATCGACAATACTGTTTGAAACAAACTCACTGTTATTATTATTATTATTACTATTATTATATTTAATAATCTCAATTCGTGCTTCGAATATTTTTGACTTTATATCGTAAATGTGGACAAATTCCTCTGGTTATTTTTTGTTTTAATTTTATTTATATTTTGAGTAAATCAGATGCAATATTGTGACAAATGCTGAGAATTCCATTCTGTATTATAAGTACTGTTTTTGGAATAAAGTAAATTATTATTATTATTATTAAACAGAGATAACAGTTGTATCGATTCATTAATGAAAGGCACTATAACCTACTCACAGTCTTTTCAATTATATCCAATTTCTTTTAGAATTCAGCAGCTGCTCGAATGTGGGTACCAAACACACCAATGTCAGAAGATTGTCTTTTCTTAAATATTTGGGTACCTTCACGTCAGTCAAATGACAATCATTTAAATTCGAAAGAAAAACTTGCAGTTATGGTAAGTTCTTTTTAAAAAAATTATTTATAACTTATGGATTCTTAGGTTTGCTCACATTTTACTGAGTGAAAAAGAGGTATTCAAAAGGTTTAAGTTCGGTTTTTTTCCTGTTGCTGAAAGTTAAATTTCAAAATACAATCCAGTTATTATTATTATTATCGTGTAATTTGGCCCCAGAATAACTCTGGTTAACATCCAAATTGTACTCCTACTGCGATCAGTGACCTTGTAGTTTAAGAATTCAAACAAAAAAACAAACTAAAAGCTGTCAGTAGGACGAGTGGGGTGTTGCTAAACCAACTCGTTAGCACTATTGTTGATGGACACTTGGATTCATCCTACCTGTTCTTCTTTATTGTTCACCCTCATTCTTTCCTCGTTTGCTTAAAAAGGACTATGTCACAATTCGTAGAATGCTGAAGACTGTCAGTAGGATGAGTGGTGTCCCAGTGGACTACATAGACACTTGACTTCATGCAGTAAATTTGCTAAAGGGATTTTGTCTGACTTGGAGCATCCACCACAGCACCCTCAGCTTTCACCTTGCATCTCCTCAGGTAGAACAAGAAGTAACTTCAGAAAACTGTATGCTCGCACGTCTAAGTACAAAAATTCTATGATACCATACTTGGCACGTATTTTATGTGATGAAAATAGTGTCAGACAAGAATTGACTAACCTTTTTTCATCTAGTAAATAAACAATCTCCTCCATCCATCCATCCTTATATACCTTCAAGTTTTACTTTTATGATTTCTATTATATTTATGGTCCTGTTGATTCTTTGTTTTCACTTTCATAACTGCAAACACCAACTTATCTCTATGACTGCTGTAATCTTTGTTTTTTTCCCTCACCATATCATGTAAAGAGAACATAATATTCAATATTTATTAATCATGCAAGGATTTGTATACCGCATCGACAATACTGTGTGAAACAAGCCCATGGCGATTTCCACTTGTATTATTAGCATTACCGTAGCTGCTATCATTATTATTATTTCCATTTTATATGCTGCATGTTTTTGACATTACCCCTATTGTAAATGTGGAAAAATTTTCTGTGTGATTAATTTTATTTATAATTTGAGGAAATTAGATGCAATATTGTGATTAATGCTGAAAATTCCATTCTGTATCACAAGTACTGTTTTTGGAATAAAGTAAATCATTATTATTATGATTATTCTTGCAAGAAATTAGCAAATATTATCTTGTCAGACTCTGAACATCTTCTCCATACACAACTCTCTCCTTGTATCTATCTCATGGGACAGGGAAACTAGAAGCAACTATAGAAGACTTTATGGTTGGATGACCAATTATAAACACTCTACAATACCTTATTTGGTAGGCAAAAACACTTTATGTGATGCGAAAAGTATAAGACAGGAAATTACCAACTTACTGAGGAACTCTAAGTAAACGGCATTTTTTGTTTTTGTTTTCGTTGTCGTTACGTTGTCGTTAATATTTTCACTTGATTTAATTTAATATTCATTTCTTTTTGAACAATAATATTAATGTTAATGCCCTATTTTAATTATTGCCCTGTACTGAGAAAATTACATGCTGAAAATTCCATATTCGTAACAAAAGTACTGTTTGGAATAAAGCTATTACATATTATTATTAATATTATTTATACTAGTTTGACCACGGATTGATATCAGTTAGAGAAACATTGAGAACCATCACCGGAGTACCGGACAGTTGTTTCGTCAGCCTAGTTTGGGAATCATCGGCAGTATGTACCCACTGCTAGGGTCCGAACACAGGACCTTCCGATTACAAGGCAAGCTGGCTCGTATACCATTCAGCCACTGGGACCAGATTCATTGACTAGCCCATGAATTCTAACTTCTACCAATTCGTGATTTAGCGCGACTGGCACCAACGAATGTCATCGGTGGGAAATCCATCCTCACACTTGACTGACTGGTTGGACCTCACTGGTCACGACTTCTCACTAGAACTCCAGGAAACGCCGTCCTGTAGCCAGTCAGATTAATTTTGTTGGTTTGTAAGAATTCGATCGATATCGGTCCGTGGTCAAACTCTTATAAACAAATCGAATCCTTACAAACCAAGCTCTTGAAAAGAATATTATGTCGTTTAACTTAAGGACATAATCCACTTTCAAACTTGGCTGTTTAAAAACATGGATACTGTATATATAATACTAAATATTTTAAGATTGATAACATTTCGCCCTACTAAATAAAATCTCAGCTGTGCGTCGGTGGCACAGTGGTTAGGACTCTCACTGACCATGCACATGGTCTGGGGTTCGATGCCCTGCCGACGCACACCTGATATCTATGATCGGCCTGCAAAATTTGGGCTACCGATATCATATGCTGAAAATTGCATACTTGCACCAAAAGAACTGCGTGGTTTCAAGCTATAATCAAAAAATACTACTCACTGCTACACAATGGAGTAGTATATACTTCTTGGATTTCGCTCTATCACTGTTGATTTCACCCATATCATGCTGCAGATTCCTCAGTTCGTTTGCTGTGGCTGGATGGTCAGAGGACTTTTCTTCAACTTCAGAGGTCTTAGGTTTCACTCGCTTGTTGAGGTTGCAGATGAGCGCTGTTCGAGGGTTCTAAATATTTCTCCTTGGCTTTGCTTCTGTGGCTCAATAGTAAAACGTTCACCAGACAATCGTTTGTTCCGGGTTCGATTCTTGCTCGACAAAAACGTCTAAATCTTGCTTAGCCTACCAACTGACAGTAAGTTCGGAAAAGAAGGAAGCTTGGGCATCAGGCTACTTTGTAACAACAATCCCATCATTACTTTAATTACAACGCTTAAAGTTTTAGGTTCCACTTGGAAAGTGGGAGGGGGTGAGAACAAAACTTGAGTGAAACAGTAATCAATATCCAATACATTTCCCAGTGCACAACATCAAGGACGTCCAAAGTACTTTTTGAAAGTTTCTCAAACGTCTCAACCGTAGGAGGTATCTCACATTGGTCAACGTTTGATTTTTTTTCAATTTTAACAGTAATGCTTGTAATTAAAATGAAGCCTTCACTTTCTTTTCACATGATCACTTCCATGTCACCCTCGAACCAATGTCAAACGCGTCGCTTCTCTCATCTACTCTCCACTCTCAGACTTACTTGGCTGGTGGTTTCACTCGAACGTCTCCACAGAGTGTGCCCATTCCATCTCCACATTCAAACAGATATTTGGACTTCCGATCATCCCATCCTTTGTC